CACAACCACACATCAAAAAAGACAGTGGGGGGAGAGAGAGGAGAAGACAGCATGTCATTTGTTTGCTTTGATACAAGATCGCACCGAGGGAGGGAATAGAGGGCTCTGCAAAATGCATGTGTGTTTGTGTGTGTGTCTTTTTGACAGTGCGTTTGTCTGTCCAGCACGTGAGCAGATCAAGGGATAGGATTTCGGGGGGGATATTTCCTAAATGTCTCATATTAAGTTACGTTTAAACAGACACGCATGAAGACCGGCGCAGTTGTGTCACGTCTGAGCTCTTCAGCCTGCGTGCAGCATCACGGAGGCCTGGTCGCACAACGCCACGCTAAAAATCACTGTTTGGCTCAATGTTGTGCATTAACATTAGCCACCGGGAGTTTTGCTGTTTATATATTACTGCTACTTACTTCAGCTAAAATAACAGGTTTAACAGAGTGGCACAATGAACTCAAGTGTTACTTTAAAACTGTCACAGATTAATTGTTAGTTGTAAAAGCAATGGACATTTGACATTCAAACCTGCAGTCAGTAAGAAATTGTGACATGTAAGCAGTGGTTGAAGAAATAAAATGCTTCATTGGAATAGTGTAGTAACGTACTTGATTACACATAAAAGTCCAAGCAGTACCTATAAGTGCTTTAAAATAAATAAAACTGTAATGCTTATATTACTATTCTTATAAGAAAATGGCCTCGTGTATACACAATGAGATATTGTGTTATTATTATTATTATTATTGACTGATTAACTTGTGCATTGCATTTTATTATTCTAGCTGTTTGAGGCGGAACGAGTGTGAACTACTTAAAGTAACTAGTAACTATTGCGGCCAGATAAATTTATTGGGATTAAACATACAGTATTTCTTGCTAAGTGGTAGTATTATAAGACACCATCAAATGGTAATACTTAGTAAGTAAGAAAAGAAAAGGACATCAAGTGAAATACGTGACTTGTTGTTTTCTACATGTACATTTAAAAAGAGCGACAGTAGCTTATAACAACTTGCAGTCATATCTTATGGTAAAGTGAACACACTGGGGCCTGTTGGCTGAGTGCGTTGAATTTAACCTCGTGTTTGTGCTATTTGACCCATCAGGTTAATTTTGACTCCGACACTTGCATTCTAACTTAGACACATCCTCCCAGTGCCAGTGTTTACCTTAGTGCATGATGAAGTGGTATGACAGGATTCTCACACAGGTGACTTTTCTAACAAGTCATTAAAAAAACAAAAGTGTACAGACATGCATTTTCGTTGCTCTTTGATTGTAAATAAGAATGAACTCTGGTGCTTGTTTCTCAAAATAACAATATGGCAATATTGACCTTACCAAAGAAGGTTAAACTGAGTTACAAAATCCTTCTCCAGCTTTGATTCAACAACTTAGGCAGGTTAGCCTTCATTTAAAAAGATAATTTCTTTTTTTCCTTTTGCAACGAAAGTCAATTTTGTCTCAATGAGTGAAGGATTTTTTTGAAGATGAAAAGTTTCTCTTACTTTTTTCTTCACCTCTTTACAAACACCCTTTGTTTGTTTTTTCTCTTTTTGTTGTTTAGGAGCCTTGGTAGTGTGAGCAGTGTACCTGTTGGATCTACACACCAACCGGCTGGACTGCTCGTTCCTGGACTGGGTCACAAGTGTTTCACAAAGGCGTGAGTCCTTGAGTCGCAGAATGAGATCCTCTCTCGCTCTCTCTGGCTGTCCCTGCATATGGGAAGAAGTGTGTGAGTGTGTGTGATAAAACAGCTTGTTAACACGTACACCACTGCCTTGGCTGGGACTCCCTAATTATTCCCTTCCAACGAAAGGCCAAGACAAGGAGAGAGTAGTGATAAACACATTTTCTTAGCGTGTCTTTCTCTCTCTTTTTGCTTCAGAGTGTGTGTGTGTGTGTGTGTGTGAGCGAGCGCGTGGTTGTGTGATGCGGAGCAGCTGTGACAGTAAACATGTTTATGAGCGGCTAATAGAAAGCAGGTGGTGATTGGCTGTGATCCTCCCAGCAATCAGTGTATATTCAGAGATTTATGCAGATGCCACTGTCTGCACCAAGGCCACAGGAAGACAAACACACTTTGTTCACAGGTACTCCACCACCAAAGATGTGGAGAAGCTTTGCATAGACGCACTCTGTCATTTATTATTGTAATACTCGCAGCCCTGAGATAGCAGCAGTGTTTTTTTGAGCCACAGTCTGCTGTTGTCTTTGCATAACCACAGAGGCGGCGGTGGTGGTGGTGTGTGTGTGTGTGTGTGTGTGTGTGTGTGTGTGTGTGTGTGTTCCCACTTTGTCTTTATTTGTAAACATGCACACTCATATGTGCACCAGAGTGGGTGTGGGCACATATGAGCGTGTTTGTGAATGTTTGGATAATTTGCTCTGTGCACAGCAATCCCAGTGTGTTTATTTGTAAATGTGTGTGTGTGTGTGTGTGTGTGTGTGTGTGTTTGAGGCTTCTCTCCCTGGGTTTGACTTTCAAGAGATTTTGTGGGAGTTGTTTGTAAACATCAACAGCAGTAAGTTTTATTTTATTGTAGCTTTATTTTACAACATTATTCCCAGATGGCTGCTAAAGCTCACAGTTTTTTTTGTTGTTTTTTTTTTGGTGTAACACACATCCTGCACTCCTTCAACTCACCAGCACACATGTGCTTCTGCTTTCATTAGAAAACAAACAACATTGTCAGTGGAACTGATTCAGCCCTGATTCAGCAGTGAAGAAGATTTTTTCCGCGGCACACGCACACACCCACACACACACACACACGAGAGAGAGAGACCAGGATCAGCACCTCTTTGTATCAGCCCCCCAAATCCTGTGTTGAACGGATCAGACTGAGTTATTCAAGTTGGTGGCAGGAGGGTTTTTTTTCTCGTTTTTACCAGCTCTGTGACACTGTGGGTGAGCACTCCCATATTTCTCTTTAATTAAGCCAGGGAAAACCTTGTAGTACAGCCAACCCAGCTCATGTAGCCACTTATGTTTTAATTTAATTACCTGTCCACTTTGATAATTATTCCCCCTGATTAACAGGGAGAGAAGGGTTTCTAAATGGGATGGGAGATGGGTTAGAGGGGCCAAACAGCGTTTTCCTCCTTTCACCAAGAACAAGAATGAAGGCGTCGAGTTTAGACGTCCGGGTCAGGCTCTGTTTTGATCCGGTTTCATACTTGGCCTGCTTCAGCGTGGACTGACTTTATTCCGGATGCAAAAGCCCAGTCTGGGTTTCCTCTACTCTGTTTAATTCTGTGATTTTATGCAACCAAAAACAGACAAACAACACAAAACAAATCATGATCCTGCAGGCAGGCGGGGGTGATTGATATCTCTAGTCAAAATGTCAGCAGTTACACAACAACAAGCACAAGAATGATTCAGTCTCTTTGCTCTCTGTTGTGCCTCTCGCATATTTCCAGTTGTCGGATGCAAGCTGTTTGTTATTAAACCGCATACACACCTGCTGGCGGGTTTGGTTCGAAACTTTCTTGAAATAACGGGCGTCAGATTTTTGCACAGATCAAACTTGGAAGTGCACCTTCCTAATAACAGCCACTTAGAAAAGCATCACTCATCACCATCCAGTCGCTCACATTAGCGCTCGTCAATTCTCGGGAGATTTATTGGAGACGCATGACAAAGTGTTCCTGGCAAAATTTTTGTCAGACTCAGAGGAGAGGTGAGTAAGTAAAAGAATATATGGGCGCTCATATACACTGGCACGCACAAACACACACCCAAACATTTGCACACACACCCATAGACACACATATTTTTAGTGGTATTGATCGTGTTAATGAATGTGTTGTGATTTACTGCAGTCGTGGCCCATTGTTGGGTGGTGCTGTGATGGACTGCCATCATTTTCCAAAGGTAAAAGCTTAGATAGAGGAAAGGCAGGAGGGCAGAATCCCATTTAATGGCCAAAGCAAAATTATCCCAGGATCTTCTTTTGAGTTATGGCACTTTTTTTTTCTTCTCCTTTTTTCCTCCCTTTTTTTTTTTTTTTCCAGCGACAGGTATGATGTAATTTCCAAATTTCATCAGAGACAGTAATCTCAACACTGATTATGCTGTCAATTAGTAAATGAATGTGGTGGCAAGAAGAAGAAGAAAAAAAGGCGGTAATAACTCTGCAAAAGGAGTTGTCAGGCTTCCAAAATACATAAAGGACACAGTGAGGTAGGCAGACAGTAAAATTTATCTAATCACAATATAACTGTCTATTTGGATGGTAAGTGTATAACAAGAGTGAACCCACTTAAACAGATTTCACACTTATTTTTTTATTTGTGGAATACAGCATTTCTTAGGTTGGCATAAATTTTAATGGCATAAATCGATATAGGCTATCATTAAGTGATTTTTGAAAAATTAAAGTTGTTTTGGAAGAAGGTCTGTCAAGAGAGAAAAAGAAATATTTAGGAAATTATAGGGGATTTATTTTGGTGTACACAATATGAGTAGTTTGTGTAGAGTTTTATATATATATATATATGGTTTGGATGCTCAATAAAATGCCCCAAAATCAGTGAAGTATTTCATTGTAGACCAGCTCTGTTTGGGTGATTTTGCTTTGTTTCTGGCAGTTTCTGCAGCTCAAACTTTGTGCAGGCTAACATCTGTTCCTCTCTGCCTCCACAATAGCACAACTCAGCCGGGATGCAAAGAGAGGTCAAAAGATCAGTGCCTTCCCCTCTCTCTCTCTCTCTCTCTCTCTCTCTCTCTCTC